AAAGCTAAAATTATACCGATATATTCTTTTTACCCAAATATCGATATATTTCTCTTCGATATATCGATGCATCGATATTAGCTATGCTGATATTTATCGATATCTATAATGTCAACTCATAAACGTACACAAGTCCACGCATTACATAAATTAAGTAAATTTCCAAAGGAGTTCACCCCGGACTATTAAAAACAGACCGATTTTGCTTATGCCAGCAATAATTTCAATATAAAGTCACGCACTGCGGCAATGCAAAGCAAGGTTGGTCTGGACTGCTTTATGCCTAATAAGGTACGAGCCTAAAGACCTGCCTTCTTAGCTGGGTACGACTAGGTATAGTCGAGACTGTGAAACTTTGTGGATGAAGGTCTCGTCTATAGCAGCCGTGTCACAGCGTCCCCAAGTTTAGACCTATGAGAACTATGCCCTTAGGGGGCCCGTTCTTTTAGTGCATCTTGGGTTACATTAAAACATTAAACATTCTTACATTTCGAGTTGACAATCGAAAACATGGTCCACCAGGGACGAACATCTGCGGTGTTAGGATTTTGGTAAATCTCCTTGAACTATAAGGTGTAATTAAGGTTTAGTAATAAAACAAATTTACTATTCGTGGTGGTATTCCTTCCCCCCATATCCTCTCTTTTCAGATAAACCCTTAGTGGACGCAGCCAAGCGAAGTAAAAGTGGTGGCACCGCTGACCACAACCAACCCAAGCGTGACAATATATCGATATTTTTTTGAAAACTGCCATCCCTAAAAATTGTTCTCAAGGTTTTATTCAAGTTTGTTGCTTTTCGACAATTTCACTCATGACATTTTTGATAAAATGTCATTCGCGAAATTGCCAAGCAGCAAACTTTCATACCTTTCGAAAATTTTGCCGACAAAATTTTTTTCTCTTGTGATATTATATATGATAATATGTTGATAATATTTATGCCATGGTACTATATACAGGCATTAATAATAAAACTGATTCATTTTAGGACAGGTAGCATTGGGATGTTTCTGGGTTCAATTTCGGTAAATGAAATTACAGGCGTCCATATTAACCCTTAATTGGTCGCTCCGGCGTAAAAAGTATGCCAAACGAGTTCAAACACGTGACATATTAAAACTAGCGATTGGCCGAAGGTGATCGCCTATGTAACCTACCACCATAGTGTCTTGTATGCACTGGAAAAGTGGCGATCCCGTTGGTTTCCATTTCGCTTCCCTACAGGGCGCTGCTTTGAATAATGTACTAACTGGCGTACAAATACGCCAAAGCGACCGTTTATGATTTTTATTCTTATAATGGTTTTTAATACTGTTTTCGCCTAAACTGTAACATTTATGTGGTTGAGATTGAAAATGTATAGTATTTGTAGTACCCATTTAGAATAACCCCATCCTTATTTATCAATCACGAATCAGATGAAACAAAAAATTACCAACAAAAACGAACGTCGATTGCTAATAGGTACGTCAATTTCATGTACAAATAGGAAATTCCTAACCTGATTTTATTTGCGTGTCAAGAAGCGAAATACGTTTTGTCACTAGAATGACTGGTACTTCTAAATTATAGGTATTGAAAATACTATAAGTTTTAGGTGTTTTGCTATACCCGTTTAGCAAAAGGATTCTAGAACATGAAGTTTGTTCGGTTGTCAATATTTTTTTATTTTTTAGAAATGAAATGCTTTTTTATTTTTTTGTGACACATTATATCTAATATTAATGTGTTAATAAATCAATACTTGAAGTTACTAAGGATTCCACATTACTTTAAAGGTAGCAAAATTCATCCGAATCATGAAAAGACATTTTCATTTAAGTGGTGTACAAAGTACGCCAAGCGACCAGTTATGTGATAAAAAAGAGGAGTGTGCGCTTTACATTGTGGATCTGAAACAACATTTTTTTTTTTTTAGTTTTTCGTTTGATTATGCCTTCATCAACTTTCGTGTTCGGAAAGCTATTTATCTTGTAACTTTTGTGGTCAGACAAAATAGTGAACTTAACGCCAAAAAATTATGGTCTGAGATATGTTGTGGTCAATATTATTTCCAATAATTCCTTTTCAATGAGTGAAAAGTTGCATTCGGCCAGGTTCAATTTCCTACTGGCATATGATACTGGAAGGTCGTTTCCAAGTGATCCTTGCGATGAAACTGCCACGATTGCATAGTTCGAGTCGTCTGAGGTTAAAATAAATGGTTTCGTGATGTCAGGGTGTTGTAAAATTAGATCGTTTTTTAGTAGGATTAAATTAGATTAGAGATTCGGATCTATTGTGACCAGGGGCGGATGGGCTCAAGCGGGACACCGGGGCGAATCCCGGTGGGCCGCAGGGCAAAATGGCCGGTGGCCAGTTCAGGAAAAAAATAAAATACAGCAACAAAAAACCAAAAAACGGCAATAGAAAACTAAAATCATTTAAGGCGTAACGCGACAACACTCTGCCAATTCAACAGAAAGCGGTCTTTGTTTTTTTTTTATCGTTTTTCACCGCTAAATGAGAGATGGCGCCACGCAGTGAAATCTATTGGTAAGTTCAGTGCGCACTGAGTGTATTCGTGTCCTTTTCTACTAGCAAGTAAGAGAAAGTGACGGAAATACATGGTTTTTGCACTAATTCCACCAATGGTTTTCGCCATTAGTCTCATGCGCGTCCATGTCATGTGCGCAGCCATTGAGCTCACCTTAAGCTTATTTATTTGTTCGTTGTGTGGCCGTTTGTGTGTATTTAAAAATAGTGATTGTGCCTTGCGCTCCAATATTTTTTCGATAATGAATAAAACCAATAAAAGTAGTGCAGCTGCGAATAGTGCTAAACGTAAGGGCGGCGCTGAAAAATTGAGGCTGAAGAAAAAAAAACGGCTAGAGGAAGAAGCTAAAAAATGTTATACTTTAAACGAAATGTTGCAATTGAAACTAAAGGAGAATACCGTGAAAAACAATAAAGAAAACGACCAATGCGGCCAAGATGTAGCTGCCGGTCCTAGTGGATTAATTTCCCAATATCAAAACTTCCCAGAACAAGAAACTATTTTTATAGAGCAAGAGCAACCTAATGAAACACCGCCAGGTTTTAGTGGATTGGTCGCTCCCGCTCCAGTAACTGATATAGAGCAGGAAGCCACTGCAGATTTTGCAGAATATAATTTTTTCTCAAAACCCAATTTTGACGAACTACATTTATTTTTCAACTACCACCCAAAAAAACCAAATAAACCAAGTGAGGTACCCTTCAACATCCAAAAAGCATTTTACCATTCTAATGACTCCCCAAGGAAATGGCTAACTTTCTCTTCAAGCAAAAAAGCTCTATTTTGCACAGTTTGCTTGGCATTCAGTCACATATCAAAGGAAAGTGCTTTTAAAAATGGCTTTAGAGAATGGAAACACGTTCATCAGCGTATATTTGAGCATGAGAATTCCAGTTTGCATAAAAATAGTTGTGAATCTTATTTCATGTACCAGAAGGAAAAAAATATAGACACATTAATCATTAGAGGGTACCATGATAAAAGAACCAGCGAGGTTATGAAAAACCGCCAAATTTTAGGTCGCGTGATCGATGTCATAAAAATGATCGGAAAACGGGGACTGGCCTATAGGTAAGTGAATTTCATCAAATCGGAAACTTTGATGTTTCTGATCACAATTTTTATTAATTTCCTATGGTTTTGTTTATTTTATTTATTTCTTATTCCTTTTTTAGGAGCCACCTTAATGAGGCCGCATATTCTTTGTCGGATGAGACTGTAGATCATGGAAATTTTCTAGAAATAGTTTTGTAATTATCAAAGTATGACATTATTCTAAAAGGCCATTTGGACAAAATTATTGCCCAAAGTACAAAATATAAAGAAATGGGTGCAAGAAAAAGGCAAGGCAATGTTTTGACATTTCTTTCAAAATCAACACTGAATTATATCATAACCATAATAGCGTCGAGTATTAAAGAAGAAATCTGTAAAGAAATAAGCATTGCTGGAATGTTTTCGATTGAAGTAGATACTACCCAAGATATTTCTGTTACAGATCAATGCTCGTTAATAATTCGGTAAGTACAATACCTAAACTCTGTCTAACCAAAGTTGAACGTTGAAGGTCACTTACTAATCCTTGTAACCATATGATTCACACGTTCGGACCTATTTTGGTTTGATAAACACAGTGCGCGTGCAATAAAGACAGCAGCAAAAAGCAACGTCTGTGATATATTCGAGTAAGTGACCTTCAACGTTCAACTTTGGTTAGACAGAGTTTACCTACCTATTCCTGGATCTAATAATTATAATTGTTTCTTAGATATGTTTACAATGAAATCGTACATGAACGTCTTTTGGCTGTGATACCGTGTCAAGATACCTCTGGACAGGGATTTTTCGAGATAATTACGAGTGTAATAGAAAAAAATGGCTTAAAAATGTCCAATTGCATCGCAGATTCAACAGATGGTGCCGCGAATATGCAAGGTGAATATAACGGATTTTCTACAAAACTAAAGGAAAAAAATAAAAATCATATTCATATTTGGTGTCACAGCCATATTCTTAATTTAGTGATTGGAGATGTACTAAAAGCTAACATAAAAGTTGCTAAATTTTTTAAACTGCTAAATTCAATAGCACAGTTTTTTAAGGAATCCTATAAAAGGATGCAAATATGGAAAAGTATTTCGCTTGATCCATAGAAGAGAAGGCTTCAAAGCATTGGCGACACAAGATAGTGGGCCAAAGAATTGGCTTTAACTAAAATATTTGGCAGTTCTAATGATGTTGAGTCTTGTCTCTATATTGATTTGATTGAAGCTTTGCAGTCAATTGAAATACATAAAAAAGTTTCAAGTGATCTGCGCGTTACGGCAAGCACTTTTAAAGAAGGACTTCTTAAATACGAGAACATTTTAATAGCGCATACTTTCATTTATTTATTTTCAATTACTGGACCTCTTTCGCGATACCTACAAACAGCAGGCATGGACCTCCTAAAATGCATATGAATGGTGCAAAATGCTACTGAACAATTAGAAGGCCATCAAAGAAATCTGGACTTAATTAAACAAAACGCCGATCGTTTTATATCGTGGGGACAAAATGAGCTAATTGCCAGAAATATTGAAGCAGATATTGAAGATAGTTTTCCCGAGAAAAGGATACCAAGGGTAAAGAAATTTTTTGATGAGAAATCGAGAGATGAAAGGCCAAAGAACCTCGGCGAAGAATTCAAAATTACGACATTGGACACTGCTGTTGAATCGATGAAAAAGAGATATGGAAAAAACATGGATGCTTGCAGAGGTATGGCAATCCTTAGCCCACATAATTTTCAAAAAATTAGAGATTCGGGAGTACCAGACAATGCATTCAAATCACTGTCTGAGAAATTGTTGCCCTTCAATTCCCAAGCAACACCAGAGAGACTCGTTGAAGAATTATATAGTTTCGCCTGCAATTGGGATAGCTTCAAACTCACAATTAATGATTTTTATAAACTTAGTCTCAATCTCTTGAATGATGAAGAGGAAGAAGAGGGTAATGAAGACGAAGAACACTGTATAATGCAAGCGACTCCCGCACCATCAAAACCAAAACGAAATTGCAATAGCTGCAAAAATTGTGTGGTATGCTGTTACTTGACAATAATGAATTATAATATGTATCAAGGCGCATTTCAGACGTTAGCAATAGCTTACCAATATTTACTAACGCTTCCTATATCTCAGGTAGCATGTGAAAGATCTTTTTCAATTTTAAAATACATAAAAAATCGTTTAAGGAATTCTTTAACAGATGACAGGCTGGATTCATTTATGCTCATGAACATAGAAAAAGGTTTTTTAATAAAAATAGATAACGAAGAAATCATAAATAAATTAGCTGCAACCAGCCTAATAACATCTAACAAATAGAACGATTTAAAAATCGAATTTTCAAACTGCTTCGAAAACGCGTGCTTGGAAAGTGACGTCACTTTCCGGAAAATGCGAATATGTCGAATTTCTCATTAGTAAATCATTACACAACTCACTACCAAGAAACTATTTTCGTCATTTACGACGTGTGAAAGTGGCCCATTTCTCAAAATAGCTATAAGTTCGAAATTTAAGATGTTCGTAAATAAATTTTTGAGTAATAAAAGTATGTATTTCTCTTCTCAAAAATAGACTAGTGGATACCCTATTTTTAAACACTTTTTCAAAGGAAAAATTTTTGGCTATCTTTGCCTCCAGTGTTATTAGCCTCCGCGGGGCCGCTTGAGCAAAACCCGTCCCGGGCCGCCTCAAAGTTGCCCATCCGCCCCTGATTGTGACTCACTTCATGTTATAGAGCCTTTTCCAGTTTTATCTATCTGATCAGACTCCACAACCTCGACAATGGCTCCCTAGTGTAGCTTGCTGCTTCTGGACATCGGAAGCGCACTCTCGACAGGCCTTCACAATGGCACAAGACGTGAGTTACCGTTTTCTCCTCCTCTTGACAGAACCTACAATGTGTTTTCTTCCACTCCCATCAGACTTAAATGTCTATTCAATCGGCAAAGGCCTGTCAGCAAACTCGCCATTATTCTGACAGCCCTCCGATCTTGGTAGGTCTGATGTTAGTTTAGCCAATGGGGTTTTCAAGAAATCCTTGGCCTGTCTTTGTCCCGATATGTGTGTCCACCATATTATTATTTCTGACATGTACCTACAACGGTGATGCGATACAGAAACATTTTATTTTTAAAAGATGCAATGACATAAGTGTTAAATGAATGAATAATAAATTGTAAGCATCTTTCCGAAATAAAATTATCGTAGTTGACATTTGTCAATAAAGCCAAGCAACCAACCTTGTTTTTTTTACAGGTAATTGTGAAATGTCTTGTCAGTTTCTTGAAAGTCTGTCGTGGTGAGTCTCAGTAATGCAAGAAAATACAGAAGAAAAAGAGGGTTGCATCGATCCCTTGAAAAATATAGATGAGGCGGCCAATCGAGCTTAGTTAGTTGCTCGAATTTTACCATTAATATTAATGTAAATAACTAAAAATACAAACTTTTTTTGACGTTTGCTCTCAAAATCTGATGTTTCAGTTTTAACACTAGTGCGATAAAGTAACACTTTTAATGCTCCGAAGGGGTGTTAATAATTGCATTTTTAACACGTTTGTAGAAAAACGATTTTAAAGTTCTCTAAATAGTGTACTGGTTCACAAAAAGAAGAAACACCTGGTTACAAAGGCAAGAGCCGTGTCAAACAGAGTAGTTTATGTAATGATCAGGATCAACACCATGTTTAGTATCCAAATCATCTAAGCATATGCACATACCTCCGCCTCCTCAGACGAAGAAATTGAAACATTTTACGAAGACCTAACAACTGCAAAGAACGCAGAAAAGACTAAAATCTGTGTGATAATCGGCGATTTCAACGCGAAGATTGGAGCCAGGGTACCGACGCGCGACGGATCCTCCCTTCATCGGTAAATTCGGGCTGGGAGCTAGTAACCAGAGGGGACAAACCATGATCGACTTCCTCAACAAGGAGAGGCTCTACTGAATGAACACCTTTTACAAAAAGTACCCTAAAAAAAAATGGACGTGGAGGAGCCCCGATAACAGGGTCAAAACCGAGATAGACTATGTTCTCACATCGAACCCCCAATTATGCTCGGACGTGTCAGTACTAATCCGCTTTGACACAGGCAGCGACCACAGATTGGTCAGAGCCAGGATCCACGTCAATACTCGACACCAGAGAAAAGCTTTAGCAGAAAGAAAGATACGGCCAACCACAGGTGAACTGCGAGAGAGGAAGGAAGAATTCAACAGGCAAATTGACAAGAAGCTACACCCAATTGAAGATATGCGCAACATGGAACTAAATGCACTTTCAACGAAGATCACCTCTAGTATTAGAAACGCAGTGCGAAAAGTCTCTTCTCTCCAAAGTAAGAAACATCCGAAATTCAGTTTAGAAACAGAACAACTTATCGAAGAACGGAGGAACACTAACAAAAACTCATCAAGGTATGGGGACATGAATAAGATCGTGAAGAAGGCCATCATAAAAGATCAGAGAGCTTATAATACGAGGATGGTCGACGAATCCATACAGAACAACGCAAACATGAGAGTTCTTCGTTCTGAGAGATCTAAAGGCAAAATGATTATCCACAAGATGAAAAACGATCAAGGAGTCATTGTGAATGAAAGAGGAAAGCTCGCAGAAATTATTGAGAATTTCTATCGACGACTCTAAAGTCCATCGGTGGCATACTCAGGTCGAGAAACTTAAATTCATCAGCCAGTCCTAAACATAGGATCAGAAGAACTAGAGCCCATTGATTTAGAAGAACTATAGGCAGCGCTAAAACACCTGAAGAACTGCAAAGCCCCGGGAGAAGACCAGATCATCAGAGAAATATTGAAGGCCGGAGGAGAGACTCTCAGGAAAGCACTCCTGACCTTAATAAATAAATGTCTAGAAGAAGAGAAAATCCCGGACTCTTGGAAGAACACAGAAGTTATTCTATAAATCAATAAAGGCGACTGCATAAATCTAGAGAATTTCAGGCCCATCGGTCTGTTATCCATCGACTTTTACCAGCCAGTCGAACAGGCGGGATTCAGAAAGGGGTACAGCACGACTGATCATATAGAAGCGGTACGCACGTTAGTGGAAAAATGCACGGAATACAACATCCCACTGCACATAGCCTTCGTCGACTACCAGAGGGCTTTTGATTCAATCGAAACCTGGGCGGTGCTGGAGGATATATAGATTACAGATTTTCAAACATCATACGATATATCTACGAACATGCCACCATGCACGTAAAAATTGAAAAAGAATCGATTACTGCAAAAGTCCAAGTACAGCGAGATGTCAGGCAGGGGGATACAATTTTAACTAAGTTTTACCTAGCAATCGAGGACGCATTTAAAAGCCTATCATGGGATCAGAAAGGCATCAAGAACGACGGGAAGTATGTTAACCATCTCCGCTTCGCAGAAGATATTGTCCTCTTTAGCAGCGATCCGGCCGAACTTGCGACGATGCTCCAAGAACTCAGAGTAGTCTCCGAACCCACAGAAGACCAAAATCATGAGTACATCTAACATGAGAGTCACCATCGAGAACCATACTCTGGAGCTAGTCGAAGAATACATACAGGGTGTCCCAAAAAGATACCGACAAACTTTAAGGGGAGTAAGGGACATCAAAACAAGCATTTTGGTTTGTATAAACATTTATTTTCTCTCTTATTTTTCGCAATAATAATTAAATCACTGTTCACTTATTAATTTTGCTTTATTAACAAATAAATTATGGTTTAAAAGATTGCACCGTCGGGACATTGAAAAGTACGTAATGAGAAAGATCTGTTAGCAAGGATACTGGCGAGTTGAACCCATGTAGAAGCTATTCCCGGAATATTCCGACGGTGCAATCTTTGCATTGAAATAAATTTTCAATATTTTAAACAATTATTGTAAACCATAATTTATTTGTTAATAAAGCAAAATTAATAAGTAAACAGTGATTTAATTATTGCGGAAAATAAAAGTACCAGACAGTTTTTTTGCTCTACAGCCCAAATGGCTCATTTGCGGACATATGTTTATATAAACAAAAATGCTTGTTTTGATGTCCCTTACTATCCCTTCAAGTTTGTCGGTATCTTTTTGGGACACCCTGTATATCTGGGACATAACATCAAAATCGGAAAAAGTAATCAAACCGCAGAGATTACCAGACATTTGCCTACATCCTGCCTGTGGCGACATACGGACTCGAAACAGCCAGCCTTACAATGAAGAGCGCCAACCGTCTTCGAGTCTGCCAAAGAGAAATGGAGCAAGCAATGTTGGGAATAAGTCTGGGAGACAGGATCCGAGACGTAGATATCAGGCGGAGGACGGGAGTTTGCGACGTCGTGGAAAGGGTGGCGAAGCTCAAGTGGCAGTAGGTGGGGCGAAATAACTCCAAATGGACAAAAACTCCAATGGAGACCAAGGGAAACAAAAAGAAGTATAGGACGTCCGCAGGCGAGATGGAGAGACGACATCCAGCGACATGCGGGGAAGAATTATTGGATGAAGACCGCCCAAGATAGATCGACATGGAAGTCTTTGGAAGAGGCCTATTTCCAAGAGTGGGCGAACACAGGCTAAAGAAGATGAAGAAGAAATAGACGACCATGCAACAAAATAATTCTATAAAGAAACAATATGCGCTGCTACAATAATCATATAAGATTTCTATATTTAGTCTTTGTGAGGCCTCATTTGGAGTATGCAGCGAATCTATGGTCACCAACAACAGCAGTAGGTATAGATCTAATAGAGAAAATACAGAAGAGATTTTAGAGGTTTCTTTATGTAAAAAAAATAATGTTTACCCATATATGGTGTCATATAATTCGATGTTGACAGGTTTTAATATAGAAAGACTGTCTGCAAGGAGAGAGAGACAGGCAATATTGTTTATATACTGTATTATTAATAATGTTAGGTTCAGAGATTGTTTTATTGTAAATTATATTAAGTTTAAGGTACCGAAGGCTAGGCTCAGAATTGTAAATAAAGATTTGTTTTATGTTTGTAATAATATCTCCCCGATCAGCAATATGTTGACT